ACACTCTCTAGTTCCCAGATCTTTGTAAACAACGTCGTCAGTCCCTTAGTCAGAAAGTCAACACCATCTTTAAAAAGAGCCGGAGGTAAGTCATCTGGGCCCGGTGATTTGTAACGTTTCAAGAGGTGGAGTTCCTTGCGGACTTCCGCCTCATTTGGTGGATCAGTCGTCACCGGCCATGGAGGGCAGGACAGTCTGACCGATGTTGCCGGAGCAGCAGGCCAGTTGAACTGCCCTTCAAAGAATTCTGCCCATCGTCCAAGACGTCGATGGATGTCAGTGATTGGCGTTCCGTCATCCTCTCAGATTGTTTCGCTCACACCAGACTTCTTGCTGCCAGTGGCTCGGATGAGTTGGAAGAGCTTCCGGTAATTACCAGATGCAGCTGCTGCTTCCAACTCATTAGCACGCTCCGACCACCAGGCTTCTCGGTCCTTACGCAAGCTTTGCCCGATTTCATTACGTAACAACCCTCGTCTGTGGTCAAACTCACGGTCACCCGGAGTAGACCGACGGGCTTCAATGAGTTATAAGGAACCAGAGGAAACCCAGTGCTTCTAAGCGGGACGTTTCGCGAAACCACAACAGACTTTACCCGCCATTTTCATGGCGTCATGCAATTGCGAACTTGTAGTACTTCACCAGAGTCTTGAATACGGATCTCGGATAGCCCCCAAATGCCCTAATTCTATCTTCCTGTACTATCTCCTTATACACACTCTTTCTACTATATATTACCACCACTGAATTAACTACTTCTATGAATCCGGTGTTCATCTTGTTGTGCTAATGCGGTATGGTAACTTAGACCGATGCATATACGTTGCAGGTCGGGCGTCTAGGCACAGAAGAGAGTCGTTTAGGTGGCCGATGGGGACTTGTTTGTCGCAGCAACTTCTGTTGCTAGTAAGTACCTAACCCAGCTAGCTTCTAGGCTAGCTACCATTCCACCGAAAAGTATAAATGAGCATTGGTTGCAATTGCATGACGCCTCTATTCCTAATGGTCAGGTTCTGCACTCGTAAAGTAGAATGGAGAACTGCTTCGTAGTGAACTCACTCTTTGATTGAGGGGCAAATCATACCTACACCACAAGTGAAGTTGGCAAAAGCCAACTGAGCTTTCTGAATCCATGCCATCTCGTCAGGCTCCCAACATAAGTGAAGCGGTCGATACACTTAATCACTTCACTCTTTATCATTAATTCAGATGCCGAAACATTTTTCATTTGAAGGGAGGGAACCGCATCCCAAACATGCTCGCATTGATGGTTTAGGTGATCAGAACTCTGCATGTTTTCGATGTCTTCACCAAACAAAACTATATCATCTACCTATTCTAAGTGAACAGGTGAATATACTAATACAAGATCAACGCCTAAAAAGTTAGACGATGAAACTGTTATCTCTAGAAACATGTCTATGACAAAGTTAAACAAAAACAGGAAGAGTAGACAACCCTGACGAACACGACTGGAAGTAATCAATCCCAATGAAGGTTCGCCATAAGCTTCGACTCGAACAGTAATGTTTGAGTAGAGCATCTATACAATGTTTATGTACCTCTTCGGTACGCCCTTCGATGACAGACATTGCCACAGAACCTCACGGTCAACGGAATCGAACGCTGTCTTAAGATCAAGGAATACAACTGTGGTAGGATGTAGAAAAGTATGTCTATTTTCCACAACTTGCGGAGGGTAAATATTTGGTCTACACATCCATGCCCGAAAATAGCCTGATTTTCTTCGCTTCGGTCTTCACGAGCTCTAGTTAGACGTCGAAGTATTATAGAAAATAAAATTTTAGACACCACAAGAGGATATTTGTCCTTCCTCCTAAACTAAGACGACCGAGACCAGTCAGTTGAGATTACATCCAGTCTAGAGATTTTAGCTAAGTTCTCAGTTAATCTAACTGCTAGGACTGAACCACCATCCTTAAAAATCTCAGAGGTCAGTCCACCAGACCCTGCTGCTCTTCATTGCTATAGATTATTTATAGCCTCCTCAACCTCAATAAGAGTTGGAGGACTTACATCAGGTTGCTTGGAGATAGTGGGTAACTGAAGTGTGTCTGAAAGCCAGTTGAACTGTTCCCTCAAGAGTTCGACTCATCGATCTAATCATCTGAATCGGGAGTGAACAATAGTCCCATCTTTTTCTGGGATAGTTTCGCTAACAGATGGATCTTTAATACCTGTTTCTTTGATAGGCTTGAGCAGTTGTCTACTGTTGCCTATCGCTGCTGCCCTTTCCATTTCTTCTGCTTTTGCTACTCACAATCATTACGTAGGCTTTTTATCAGCCTACATCTAAGCTGCCTCTGGTCGTAATCATGTTCGGAGCCAGATGGGTTGAGTTTCCGAGCATCTGTCAGTTCGTAGACGCCACTGAAATCCACTAGTTTTTCAGAACCTTTTGGTTTAAGTTTCCATGAAATATCATTGCTGTCCTCATAGATTTTTGGATACCATGCCAAGCTAGCTCAAGGTGGATATAACCTTCAAGGTTGACTAACTTCTCTAGTTTTTCCTGAAATACATCCCTAACTTTTTCATCATGAAGTTGAACTTTAAGGGGTTTGCTTGCTGTGACTTTTATACATCCAGAAGGATACAGACAAATACGTGCTCGAACTAGAACATGACCTAAGTCTAAAGATGTACTTCAAAATGAGCGACAGACTTCTATCAAGCCCCCTCAACGATGACTAATGGTAATGTGGTCTATTTGAGTCCATCGATGAGTCGATCGTGGAGGTCGCCATGTCAGACGACGTTTGTCCTTATATTTATAGTTGGTGTTTACCAATATTTATGTGTTCAAATAAATAAAATAAATTACCAGAAATAGATGGTTATCTAAACACAGTAGCAACAGATAGTCGCCACTATCTGTTCGCTGAGCCGCAACACCGTAAGATCCACCTAAGTGTCTTTCGGTTTGGTTTATTTTACCTACTTCAGTATTAAAACCACCAGCTACGATTGCTACATCAGAGCGTCTAGTTTTTTGAAGGATGTTGAGTAGCTTCTTATAAAATTCATCTTTAACTTCATCTGAGCTTCAATCAGGCAGAAACGACGAGAAGGCAACAGCGTGTGTCCCTATCTTTTCGAGTGCTTAGAGTCTCGTTTAGTCGCACAGAGCACAAGATACTGTCTATTAGAATTCATTATATGTTCTGCTTTTGAACTTAACGCTATACTTACACTAGCAAAGCCACAGGAAGTAGCAACAAGATCTCCAGATACTCCAAGGGTAAGTAGTTCCGGTTTTTTATATTAACAAGGTGAGGCCAAATGAATGACTGTAGTTAGGTCCTGTAAGCGCGTTTCAGAGACGAAACATACATCGATGGAGCAATGTTCAAGAAGCCTAGCTAAGGAAGCCTATTGCTCTATCTGACACAAGGTTCGAACATTAAATGCTCCAACATGTAATAACAAATATGTTTTTGTTATATCCTAATGAGCATAAAAATTGTACTCCTGATGTTTCGTGACTTAGTGTAGGCCGCTTCTTCAGCGCAAATAAATGACCTAAATTAAATTAACACAAGCTCAAACAGTACAAAAGAAACATACTATTTAAACTTGTGTTCATTTGATTTCGCTTGTGTTATGTCTAGATGCTTATATTCTTGATATACGGCGTATATATTTTGAGCATAGAGACGACAATCCGATTGGTTTCACCATCTTGAAACACCGACTTCGGTGGCTTGAAGATGTTCTACGGATGTCGTCCCTGAGAATTCCACGTCGTGCATTATTTGCCGACTCTGTGACTGGTTGGAAAAAGCGGAGAGGTGGTCAGTATATGACATGGTGTCGTGGTATGAAAGAAAGCTGCAAAGGGCTGGCTTGTGTTGGTCCTTCACGACTCCCTGGCTTGGGTCCCAGAGATGGTGCAACACAGTGGCTAGAGACGCTATCAGATATGCCTCAGAATAGAAGCCAGTGGCGATCCTGCTGTAACCTTCTTTTACTTTCTTCATAAAAAGTGTTTGTATCTTCCTTAACTGAAAGATTTCTCCTGATTGTACCTTTTTGTCTCCCCCATTATTGTGCTCTCTGTCTTTTTTTTTATAACTTCCTACGTTCATTACTTTTTTTCCCTTCTCTTTAAATTCTCATTGTTTTGTGTGGCGCATATATATTTGGTGCCCCCCTGTACCAATATTTATGTGTTCAAATAAATAAATAAATTACCTGGCAGCCACCGGTTTATATCCTTTTGTGACCCGTGTTTTCAGCTCCGACCATCATTAAAATTAATCTTGCATAAATACTTGTCTTGGATTGATTAAAATATTGTAATATGATCATGTTCGTGTCTCTGTGATTAACATTCGGCGGTATTGTAGGAGAGTGACAGTATTTAAAACAATTTAACCATGAAGCATCGTTCCAGTCTGATTTAATACATAGCTGAAACCTGTTATCCATGGCAATCAACATGCTTGGGACGCACGGCACACCCAGATAATTTGCCTTAATATTTCTTGTTATCCTTAAATGTTGATTTATTGATATTTTAATTTTGGCTTCATTTTAGGACCAAACAATTTTTTCTGACTGAAGATAATCGAAATTTAGAACTCTTTGTCGACCTATCAACAACAATTTATGTAGTTAGTCAATTTATCCTATAGGACCTAAAATTTCATGGTCTCATATTTCCAATGTTTAACGCTAATTTTAATTATTGGCGGGCCTGATTTGCTAGATTTTTTATCTAATAAGCTATTGAACAATTATATTACGAGTATTCTTGGTTATTTTTTTACTAAAAGCCACGATCAATGTAAAGTTAACATGAACGTTTGTCATAGTCATTTCTTTGCACTTATGACGAGTAAAGTTTCACGCCTTAGAATTTTCAGTTGTTTATTTACTCCATAATGCCTTGGCCTTATATTCAGTTTGGTATTAAATATATTAAGTAGTCATAAACTCGATTCTTTTTCTAAATACTGTCTTATGATTTTTTATAGACCTGTTTTAGATTCAGATGATATTCACTCATACTTACCACAATTTAACCTTGAAGTAAATGAAGTATGTGCAGCCGTTTGGCTCCCGAGACCTGTTCTTAATAAATTAAGTGATGATTGGAAGGCATTTGAGAAACATTTTCAAAATCAATCCGCAATCAATAATTCAGAATATCTTTATACCGAGTTATCAACGATGCCATCCACTTTCCAGATTGATAATGATCAAACAGAAGTTTGGTAAATTGGATGATTTTTATTTGCTTTCATTAAGACGTTTTTGTTGATTGTATAAAAGTTTCCGAAAAATTGACTTTCATCATTCAAGGGAAAATCGCTGAACGCTTCAGTATGGTTTTTATCACTATTTACTTACGCTTGTTACCCCTTGTGGAATATAGGCCCCCGACCAGACATCTCCAACCTGTTCCGCCCTGGGCTCTCTCAATTGTTCCCAAGTGATGTTCATTCTTTTAATGTCTGTCTTCGACTCTCGGTACAATGTGTTCTTTAGTCTTCCGCTTTTCCTTTTGCATTAAGGAGCATACCTTGTGACGCAGTTTGATGATTTACTCAATGTGTGTACCATTTCCTCTTTAGCTGGAATTTATTTTTTTTGCCACATTAGGTTGTTACTGATGGTGTCTGACTAACGGATATGCAGTATCTTTCGTAAACGGCTGTTTATAAACACCTGTACCTTTCAGATGATGATTTTAGTTCTCCAAGTTTCAACTCCGTACAATAGAACTGTTTTGACATTCGTATTGAAGGTTTTGATTTATGTGCTGGCTGACAGTTGTTTTAAGTTCCAGATGTTCTTTGATTGTAGAAATGCCACTCTCTTGGTGCCATTCTAGGGTTACTGCCGGTCTCAGTCCCGGATAAAGGAGCGGGGTTTTGGATGGATTTAGCATCCTCATCTCTCAGAAACGAACCTTGCTAAAAATTGCTGAATAGTTGTTTTTATTCTACTTGAATAAGAAGTTAACCTAACTCAAACATTATACCATGCTTTATAATTTTATGTTTCACATTTGTGTGAGCTTAAAGAGTGTAGTCCAATAACGAAGACCATGGGTTTTAGTCATCAAACAACAAGTGTATTGTCACAGTCATTGGAAATCGACGATTGCTGGTAAGAAACTGTCTTTTATCACTGCTCTATATTTTTCTTTCACATAAATTGTGAAATATTTTAACAAGACAATAAAACGTCCATTTTTAAATAAAAAGTTTTCTGGAAGCATTACTTGTAATATTTTCTATATTTCTAGGTATTGGGGTGTAAACTCTCTTGATTGGCAATCGGTACCCGTGAATCAACTTATCTGTGGACTAACATCAAGTCACAATCCAGTTATTTCACACAATACCAGACCCGAATCTGAATCTGGTAATGGACCTAGTACTGTAACACTGGGGACATTATATGCTATTATTCATTGGCTTTCCTTAACCAGTACCGGAAGTATTGTTTGAAAATGTTTTCGTCAATTAATTTTCTAACTAATACTTGTATACCTTCATTTATTTTCATTCTTCACTGAGGTTGGCACAAATTCCTGTACGATATTCCTTGTCTGAAACTTCAGTAAGTTTCATACAGTTAGTTCCCTTTATGAATTTAAATAAAGCAAGAACAAATATTAATGCAGAATAGTATGAATTCATAATATTTCGAGGTTTCTCGTCAGCTGCTTACAACCAAATATGTGATAAAAATTTTACATTGAGACAGTGTAAAACAATTGGCATAAATGAATGTAAATAACTGGAATGGGATACCCTCACCTCCCTCTGTGACCAGAGCTCTTCTTATCGTATCCACGAATCCTTCTGCTTGGCCAATCGACTGAGTATGGTACGGAGGAGATTGTAGATGCGATATGCCATTTCCACCGCAAAAGCGTTTAAAAGCGGATGACATAAACTGAGTACTGTTGTCAGTCACCAATATCTCCGGAACCTCAAAACAAGCAAACAATCCTGACAATCTTCTTATTGTACTCTTCGATGTCGCTTTAAGCATGTCATATACTTCTGGCCATTATGTGAAAGCATCGACAACAACCAGGTAATTTCTGCCTTGTATTGGTCCGGTGAAATCAGCCTATATTCTTTGCCAAGACCCGTCCGGTTTTGGCCACCCGTGGACCGTTCTCACAGCTTACACGGCTGCCCGCACCGTGTAAGGGTATTTCTTCTTAAGGGACCTGAACAAAAGCTGAATAATTGTTGGTTTAAGCTACATAAGTGTGATTGTAGCGCTCAAAGGACAACTGCTTGAGGCCGGTCGCATACTGTCTTGTTATGGGAAAGTTTTGATGAGTTAGCTCCGAACTTACCGCCGAGGACGGAAATCCATGAGGTAAGATGAGTTGTGACATTTTTAGGGTCGACCTTTTCTGATCTCTTCCTTTCATTGTGAAAAGGCAGCGTCGCTGCAGATGCCGGGAAACACCTTGAGGCTGCCGCACCCCTCTACAGTTGGCAGTACGACTTTGCCCTCGGACATTAAGTTGCTGTCTTGACGTTCTTCAAGCTGATGTGGTAGGGCCTAAAGGAACATATGCTCCAGCCGATATAGCTCGGTTGAGTCATCACGACAAGCGATCCTAACCACCACATCAAGGTAGCAGCTACGGTCGGGATTTTTTAGTTCAAAAAGGGACATATTTAAACACTTACAGAAATTAAATAAAGCTAGAACAAATATTAATGCAGAATAGTATGAATTCATAATATTTCGAGGTTTCTCGTCAGCTGCTTACAACCAAATATGTGATAAAAATTTTACATTGAGACAGTGTAAAACAATTGGCATAAATGAATGTAAATAAGAAGCTACTCAACATCCTTCAAAAAACTAGACGCTCTGATGTAGCAATCGTAGCTGGTGGTTTTAATACTGAAGTAGGTAAAATAAACCAAACCGAAAGACACTTAGGTGGATCTTACGGTGTTGCGGCTCAGCGAACAGATAGTGGCGACTATCTGTTGCTACTGTGTTTAGATAACCATCTATTTCTGGTAATTTATTTTATTTATTTGAACACATAAATATTGGTAAACACCAACTATAAATATAAGGACAAACGTCGTCTGACATGGCGACCTCCACGATCGACTCATCGATGGACTCAAATAGACCACATTACCATTAGTCATCGTTGAGGGGGCTTGATAGAAGTCTGTCGCTCATTTTGAAGTACATCTTTAGACTTAGGTCATGTTCTAGTTCGAGCACGTATTTGTCTGTATCCTTCTGGATGTATAAAAGTCACAGCAAGCAAACCCCTTAAAGTTCAACTTCATGATGAAAAAGTTAGGGATGTATTTCAGGAAAAACTAGAGAAGTTAGTCAACCTTGAAGGTTATATCCACCTTGAGCTAGCTTGGCATGGTATCCAAAAATCTATGAGGACAGCAATGATATTTCATGGAAACTTAAACCAAAAGGTTCTGAAAAACTAGTGGATTTCAGTGGCGTCTACGAACTGACAGATGCTCGGAAACTCAACCCATCTGGCTCCGAACATGATTACGACCAGAGGCAGCTTAGATGTAGGCTGATAAAAAGCCTACGTAATGATTGTGAGTAGCAAAAGCAGAAGAAATGGAAAGGGCAGCAGCGATAGGCAACAGTAGACAACTGCTCAAGCCTATCAAAGAAACAGGTATTAAAGATCCATCTGTTAGCGAAACTATCCCAGAAAAAGATGGGACTATTGTTCACTCCCGATTCAGATGATTAGATCGATGAGTCGAACTCTTGAGGGAACAGTTCAACTGGCTTTCAGACACACTTCAGTTACCCACTATCTCCAAGCAACCTGATGTAAGTCCTCCAACTCTTATTGAGGTTGAGGAGGCTATAAATAATCTATAGCAATGAAGAGCAGCAGGGTCTGGTGGACTGACCTCTGAGATTTTTAAGGATGGTGGTTCAGTCCTAGCAGTTAGATTAACTGAGAACTTAGCTAAAATCTCTAGACTGGATGTAATCTCAACTGACTGGTCTCGGTCGTCTTAGTTTAGGAGGAAGGACAAATATCCTCTTGTGGTGTCTAAAATTTTATTTTCTATAATACTTCGACGTCTAACTAGAGCTCGTGAAGACCGAAGCGAAGAAAATCAGGCTATTTTCGGGCATGGATGTGTAGACCAAATATTTACCCTCCGCAAGTTGTGGAAAATAGACATACTTTTCTACATCCTACCACAGTTGTATTCCTTGATCTTAAGACAGCGTTCGATTCCGTTGACCGTGAGGTTCTGTGGCAATGTCTGTCATCGAAGGGCGTACCGAAGAGGTACATAAACATTGTATAGATGCTCTACTCAAACATTACTGTTCGAGTCGAAGCTTATGGCGAACCTTCATTGGGATTGATTACTTCCAGTCGTGTTCGTCAGGGTTGTCTACTCTTCCTGTTTTTGTTTAACTTTGTCATAGACATGTTTCTAGAGATAACAGTTTCATCGTCTAACTTTTTAGGCGTTGATCTTGTATTAGTATATTCACCTGTTCACTTAGAATAGGTAGATGATATAGTTTTGTTTGGTGAAGACATCGAAAACATGCAGAGTTCTGATCACCTAAACCATCAATGCGAGCATGTTTGGGATGCGGTTCCCTCCCTTCAAATGAAAAATGTTTCGGCATCTGAATTAATGATAAAGAGTGAAGTGATTAAGTGTATCGACCGCTTCACTTATGTTGGGAGCCTGACGAGATGGCATGGATTCAGAAAGCTCAGTTGGCTTTTGCCAACTTCACTTGTGGTGTAGGTATGATTTGCCCCTCAATCAAAGAGTGAGTTCACTACGAAGCAGTTCTCCATTCTACTTTACGAGTGCAGAACCTGACCATTAGGAATAGAGGATATTTGTAGGTCACTAGTATTAGATGTTAAGTGTCCTACAAATACTGCTTGTGTATTTTGGGACCACTGAGTGAGCATTGCTGAGGCTCGGCGTAGGATACTAGTAAAGGATGGAAATTCATCAGCTAAGATGGTTGAAACACATGTTACGTATGCACAACCACTACCTACGTGGGCGAGGTATATATTCTGGTTTAGGGGTAGGCTGGAGAAAAGCCTAGGGGCGACCAAACCGAAACATGGCATCAGTCACTGGTAGTTGGACTTAGCCATGTTAATAGCTGTAGACTACCTAATTGGGGTGTGCATGATTAGAGAGTCAGTCAGTCAGCTGCAACGTAGGACCAGGCACGTATATGCATCGGTCTAAGTTACCATACCGCATTAGCACAACAAGATGAACACCGGATTCATAGAAGTAGTTAATTCAGTGGTGGTAATATATAGTAGAAAGAGTGTGTATAAGGAGATAGTACAGGAAGATAGAATTAGTTCGTAGAAATAAAGATTTGAAGTGATTTTAATCTCTTAGTTTAAAGGAAGACAGAGAGTGTATACACCGACGCCATTGTGATCGATTCTGAACCATGTCACCAAGAGTCTCCAACCATTGTTTACGATAGTCACGCGGACCCCAACCAGGTAGTCTGCATCTACCAACATGCCTCAGACCAGAAGTTAGTGCTCCTCGAGAGTCAATCTTTCTCCGGTTTTGAACACTCACAAAGTATGACGGAAGCAAATAGCTTGGACGCAATCGGAAGTAGACTTATCCTCTGATAGTTGTTACAGGAACGACGTGAACCGTGTTGTAAGATAGGGACAACTATCGACTCATTCCATGACGTTGGTACACTCTCTAGTTCCCAGACCATTGTAAACAACGTTGTCAGTCCCTTATTCAGAAAGTCACCACCGAAGGTAAGTCGTCTGAGCCCCGGTGATTTGTAACGTTTCAAGAGGTGGAGTTCCTTGCGGACTTCCGCCTCATTTGGTGGATCAGTCGTCACCGGCCATGGAGGGCAGGACAGTCTGACCGATGTTGCCGGAGCAGCAGGCCAGTTGAACTGCCCTTCAAAGAATTCTGCCCATCGTCCAAGACGTCGATGGATGTTAGTGATTGTAGTTTCGTCATCCTCGCAGATTGTTTCGCTCACACCAGACTTCTTGCTGCCAGTGGCTCGGATGAGTTGGAAGAGCTTCCGGTAGTTACCAGATGCAGCTGCTGCTTCCAGCTCATTAGCACGCTCCGACCACCAGGCTTCTCGGTCCTTACGCAAGCTTTGCCCGATTTCATTACGTAACAACCCTCGTCTGTGGTCAAACTCACGGTCACCCGGAGTAGACCGACGGGCTTCAATGAGTTATAAGGAACCAGAGGAAACCCAGTGCTTCTAAGCGGGACGTTTCGCGAAACCACAACAGACTTTACCCGCCATTTTCATGGCGTCATGCAATTGCAACCAATGCTCATTTATACTTTTCGGTGGAATGGTAGCTAGCCTAGAAGCTAGCTGGGTTAGGTACTTACTAGCAACAGAAGTTGCTGCGACAAACAAGTCCCCATCGGCCACCTAAACGACTCTCTTCTGT